GCTTGCCGAGACTTCACCTGTGAGAGAAGACCAAACCACCCGAGAGAAGAAGCAACAACAGCCTGTGGGAGAAGGCTAAAGAGAGAAAATGGAAATAAGAGATATAAGTGACTACACAGTTGGTAATGTTAGTCCTAAGGCATGTGCCCAACAGCTGACATCATGGTCTCTGGGGAGTGGGGCATGATCCCAGTTGGCTTTGATATTTAAAGAAGGTAGGAATCTGGATAGTAGAGCCAAACTGTGGGAATCACTGAATGATGACATCTCTTGTCATCCAGTTGGCACTCATATGGTTCCAAGGACACCCCTCTAACTCCAAGCTGGAGCCTGTACTGCTGGAGGAGCAAGAAACAGGATGTGACTTCAGGATGAAGAGTTTGCCAGGTGATAGGCAGGAGGCCTAGGATCTCAGCATTAACAGGTGGACTAAGGTACATAGACCCTGAAGGGAAACTCAAGCACTAGCCAGAACTTACTGCTAAAGCTTAGAGCCATTAACTAGACAATCCTGGCCAGAGTTAAGGGAAGAGCACAAGCCCCATGGTGGGTACATGTCTACAGCTTACCTTGGACTTGGGATATAAATTCTAACTCTATCCCTATCCCTCAGTGGGACTCAACCTCCCAAAGCAGTCTTAAGTTTTTGACCTAGAGAATTCTGAATTGGGTCTCAATACAGCTGTGAAGCCTGGGACATGTTGCTTAGTCTCTCTCCTAGGTTTCCTTTTTATAAAACAGTGGTACCAACTCCTTCCTTCCTTCCTTGCAGGGCTATTGAGTAGGTAAACAATAGAGGAAAAATAAACCAAAAAAACAAACCCACTGCTGGCCAGTTGATTCCAACGCATGGTGACCAAAGCCCCAGTATATGGTAAAAAACAAACCACTTGCCATCAAGTCAATTCTGACTCATGGCAACACCGTGTGTGACAGAGTAGAACTGTACTCCATAGGATTTTCAGTGGGTAATTTTTCACGAGTAGATCACAAAGGCTTTCTTTGGAGGTGCCTCTAGGTGGACTTGAACCTTCAACTTTTTGTTTAGCAGCCAAGCTCATTAACCATTTGCGCCACCCAGGGACTCCTGGCAGATGGTGGGACTTCAAAATAGTCTATGTTATTACTGCTGTATCAGCCACTTGCCTCGGTTGGATTTTGTTTGGGGCTTGGCTGAGTCTGAGGGTTAAAGTTAATGCTGAAAGCTTTGGGTATGATGGGCAGCTTACTAGTTGTGTGACTGTGGGGAAGTCAACTAATCTCTGAGACATGATTTCTTCATCTGCAACTGGAGTTCATAATAACTAACGTGCCTTTCCCACTTCACTATGTTAAAGAATAACATGAGGTGGAGGTCATAAAAACATTTTTTAGCCTGAAAAGCATTATTCAGGTGGTGGTGTTATTATAAAAATAATAGCAACCTTAATTAACATTTTTGAGCACTTGCTTTTTTTACCCCACCACTTGTCTGTCAGTTTGTCATTACTGTGGTGGCTTGCGTGTTGTTATTAGGCTGGAGGCTATGCCACTGGTGTTTCAAATACCAGCAGGGTCAGCCATGGTGGACAGGTTTCTGTGGAGCTTCCAGACTAAGACAGACTGGACAGACTCTTTTTTTTAAAAAACCAAGCACTATTTTAAGTGCTTTACATGTTCCACCCAATTTAATTTTAATCTTCCTCCAAAAATGTTGCCACTTGTTGTTGTTGTTGTTGTTATGTGCTGTCGAGTCAGCCCCGACTCATAGTGACCCCCTCCTTGGGTTTCAAGGCAGTATCACTACAGAAGTAGGATTGCCTGACCTTCCTACCGAGGAGTGGCTGGTAGGTTTAAACCGCCAGCCTTCTGGTTAGCAGTCAAGTGCCTTAGGCACTATGCTACCAGAGCTCCTAATACCTATTTATTATTCCTCTTTTTCAGTTGATAAAACTGAAGTACAGAGAAGTTAAGTAACTTACCCTAGTTCACACAGATAGATGATGGTAGAACTGGGATTCAACCCTATCAGTCAAGCTCCAGAACCTTCCTAATAGATTGTTAATCACAGTGGTTATATTGGCATTGTCACTGTTTCTAAATTTTGGCTCTACAAAGGGTGCCTAGGTATCCATTCACAACGCATGAGACAGAGTTGAAAGGCCTTGACAATGGCTCCATAAAGCCACCTGTTAATTAGTCTTATTACTTTGTGGGCATACCTCTAACATCTTAGGAACACACAGGTGTGTATGATTGGGTATCCATGCATATAGATTATAGAAACATGCTCAAAGGTAGAGATCATAAATGAGTTAGGGATTATAAATGTAAGGGAGCAAGGCATTAGCAAGGTCATTAATGAGCTTATGATTCTGATGTAAAGAATAATTACTCATTGGCCTAAAAGAAATGAAAAGTGTTATTATGGTAACAGAGTGAGTGATAGTCATGCATAATCTTTTTATCCATCACATACGACACACTTCTGCAGGGCTGTCCAGACTTTGACACCACCCCTCCCTATTTATTTATCTGTGTATGTATTTGTGGAAAATTAAGGCAAATAATGCAAGAATCATTTGTTTGGGATATGTACAAAATATTTTATGAGCAGTTTGGTAATTAGTCAAAGACCTCCAAAAAAGATCATTTTCAGTTGTTGTTGTTGTTATTTGCCATCGAGTTGGCCCCGACTCATAGCGACCCCTCCTTGGGTTTCTGAGGCAGTATCACTACGGAAGTAGGAATGCCCAACCATTTTCAGTACGTTTCCATTAAATTCAACAAATTTACTAGGATGTACTTGTACTGCGCAATACAGTAGCCACATGAGACAATTATTTTAAAATTTTTATTGTGTTTTGGGTGGAAGTTTACAGAGCAAATTCCTTTTCCATACAGCAGTTCATACACATTTTGCTTCATGACATTGACTGCAATTCTCACTTCCTCCCTGTTGCAGTTACCTCTTCCCTGAGTCCTCCTTTCCTATGCATACCTGCCCCTTCCCCCAAGTTTCTCCCTGTGAAAATACTGCCTTTCTGTTCTCCCATAATTGATCATTCTAAGGCGTGTATCTACCTGACATCAATGTTCACCCCATATGCCTGTCTACTGTTTGGCTGGAAGCCATGGTAGTGAGTTCAATTCCAGACCTGCAGAGGCCATAGTCTCAGGGGTCCACATGAGTCAATTTAAATTTAAAAATTCAATTTTATAGTTGTTCTAGCCTCATTTCAAGTACTCAGTAACCATGTGTGTGTGTAGTGTGGGTAGTGGCTACCAAGTAGACAATGTAGATTGGAGACATTTGCATCATTGCAGGAAGTTGTATTGGACAACATTGCTAGATAAAGTAGGATGCATGGAGGATGCAGTGATGACCAAAAGAGTTGAGGTGTTTGCTCTTATGGGGCTTATAACCCTGCAGTGAAGACAGCTGCTAAACAAGTCATCACCAATTGAGGGGTAGGGAATGGACAGAGGCAGGGGATTGTGTGGCAGGGGATCTTCCCAAGGATGGGTGATCAGAGAAAATAAAATAATAATGATAATAAACTCCTTATGTAGGAGTGACAGACCCATTTTTTTTAAATAAATATTTTCTCTGCAACTGGAATTCACAAATGGTACTATGATGTTTAAATATTATATTACTGAAGAATACTTAAATGGACTTTATACATCATTAAAAATTTTAATGCACTGAATCTCAAAAGAAGCCAAATACAAAATGTAAATGCAATGTGATTCCATTTATACAAAATTCTAGAATAGGCAAGATATATCTATGGTGGTAGAAATCAAAACAGTAGCCTGGGAGTGAGTGGGTGGGAGCAGAGATTGACTGCAAAGAATCTCAACGGTACTTTCGGGGGTGTTCATGATGATGTTCTCTTGATTGCGATATTTGTTAATGCATTTGTCAATGCTCATGGAACTGTATGCTTAAGAACTGTGCATTTCAGCGTGTAAATTGCATCTCAGTTAAAAAATAATAATTCATGGGATTATATATTATAGTATGTTATGGTTGATATGAATTATACTATGGAAATATACATGGACTCATCACTTTTGTTTGCCATTTACCTGATCTTTGTAACTTTTGTGTCATCACTGGCAAGAAGGTGTCCTTCAACTTTCCTGATCTCATGCCATGTGGATATAGATGTGCTACCTCTCTTCCCAATTCTTTTCTATTTTTTTTCCCCCAGGTTCATAACTTATTGTACAAATGGAGCATCATATGATGAATTGACATTAGTTTCTCCAGACATGAGTTTCAGACCGTGTAGAATCCATTTATGTTGCTTTCACAGTTGGAGTTTTTTTCAGACCTTAACTTGAAGTATAGGGCAAGCAAAGCAATACCCCCATATCTGGGTAGTACACGATTCATTCTACCTGTGAGAGATAAGAATTGAAATATTTTTTAATACCAGTGAACTGGAATTGAGCATCACTTTCTGGACCTGCCATGATTTCAATCTTGCCACAAATTACACCTCTTCCAAGTCCTAGATGTTTTCTTTCTTTCTTGTCAAAATTGGACAGGCTGAAAGAGTGCTTGCCAGAACATTAAGACATGTTATTTTAGAGTAAGGAGATTTTAGGTGAATTTTACTTGTTTCTCTTCTTCACTGTCCTGTTGAAATTTCTAAACAAGAAGCATACATTAGGTTTATCATTTGAAAAATAAAAACTCATTTTTTTGTTGTTTAGAAAGTATATTTATTCATGGATACTATATATTCATTTGAAAACTTTGGGATTAACACTATTACCAGTAACAAAAACCCTTCTAAGCAGCAGGCTCTGTGGGTGATTGTTTAGTAGGCATAGGATGTTGGTAAATATATTAATTTTTGCATGTCTAAACCACATTTCTCCTGTTGAGTGTCTTTATAATCCTGGAGCACACTGTGGTGGATTTGGATTCCATCTGTCAGACCACTGGGAAGTACTATGCAGCTGTTTGACCCTCTCATCTGCCTCTTTCCCCACTGTGTTCACAGATTCTTACCTGACCCTGGATGAACCAATGAATAACATAACCACATCCCTGGGACAGACGGCAGAACTGCACTGCAAGGTCTCTGGGAATCCACCTCCTACCATCCGCTGGTTCAAAAATGATGCACCAGTGGTCCAGGAGCCCCGGAGGATCTCCTTTCGGGCAACCAACTATGGCTCTCGGCTGCGGATCAGAAACCTGGACACCACAGACACAGGCTATTTCCAGTGTGTGGCAACGAATGGCAAGAAGGTGGTTTCTACCACCGGAGTTTTGTTTGTCAAGTTTGGTAAGCAGCCTCCAACTGGGTCTGGCCTTGGATTCTCAGCCCAGTGCAGTAGAATGGCTAGAGTCAACAGGGGATAGGAAGGAGGGAATGGACACTTAATGAGAATGTACTATGTGCCCAGGAGTCCCTGGGTGGTGCAAATAAGGAACCACTTGGCTACCACAAGGTTAGCAGTTCAAATCCACTCAGAGGCACCTCAGAAAAAAGTCTTGGTGACCTACTTCTGAAAGATCACAACCAGTGAAAACACTATGGAGCCCAGTCCTACTCTGAAACACATAGGGTCACCATGAGTTGGAATTGATTCAACAGTGACTGGTTATTACTCATTACTGTGTGCCCAACAACCTCAAAGCTGGCACGATTACATCCATTTTACAAATAAGTAAACCAAGACCCGTAGCTTAAATACCATGCCCAGGGTTGCCCAACTAGTAAATGACAGAGCTAGAATAGAGTCCAAATCTTTCTGACCCTACAGCCCCTCTTTAAACCACCATACCTTTGAACATTTCTTCCCACCAAAGATGCTCCTTGTCTGGAGAAGTTAGGAAGATTTGCAGTATGTTTGTTTCTGTCTAGTTGCCATAAGAGACAAAAAGTCCTGTTCTATATTGCAGTCTAGGCCCTCCTGTAATCACTCAGCCTCTCAGAGAAAACTCCCCCCATAGTTTGAGGACGACTACTCTATTGACTCATTTTTTAGCACTTGCCTTAGCATTTTTTCAGGCCCTGAACTGTGAGATATAGACATGTTCTCACTGGTACTTTTTTTCATAGACGTGGTTTGGGGGAACTAGAGCAAAATAATAAAAATCCCAGGAAGATAAATACCACCTTGAGGTGGTTAAGAACATTAATTTGTAATCATTTGACTGAACACACACTTGCCCTCCAATAACCTAGACTGACTTTCTTTTTGTTTTTCTTTCATTTCTTCAGGACCCCCTCCCACTGCAAGTCCAGGATCTTCGTAAGTACTTCATATCCCCTTTCTTGTCATCTCTAAGCATTTCCCTTCAGGTTTCTAGGGCAAAGGCAATGTTGTCTTCTGCTTGGGCCAACACTGCATTTCCAGATGTCATTCCATTTTGCCCTGCCCTCATTCCATTGTGCTTTTGCTCTGATGTAAAGATGCTCAGGAGACCAGCATTGGCAGTAAGCTCAAGTGCGGTAATGTTGATTCTAAATGATCAAAGCAAAAATCTACTTACATTTACTTTTTTAAAATTAATCTAACATTCAGTGGGAATGATGGAGTTGATCTAAATCAAACAAAAACTGATAGACTGTGGGCTTAGGAACGTTTATTCTCAACTAAAAGGGGCTGCCCTTCATTTCTGCCAGCATTTCTGGGGCTTTACTTATTGAACAGGACAACAATTGGGTGGTTACTTAATTTTTCATTCCCTTTCAAGAACTCAGAGGCAGAAGTTCTGACTCACATAGGGGAGGAAAGCCCCATGCCCAGAATGAGAGTGATGTGGAAGTTTGATTCTGTTTGCGTTCTTTTTTAATGAAGTCTAAGGATCCAGTTTCTTTACTGATACCATTGTTGATGCATTTGTCTGCCTAAGGGATTCTCATCTTTTATTTTAGCAGTATCCACTTGGGACATTTTTCTTTATGTGTACTTTTTATTATCGGGAAAAGACCAGTTAATTACAGCCCTTGCACTGTAAGAAAATATCCTCTACATTTGACTCCCTAAGTAAAATCCACTGGGCTCTGCCATGAGAGCATCAATGTGTCTGACCTAGGCTACATGATGGCAGATATAACAGCCACTTAATGGGCTTTAATCCCCTTTGTGCTGCTTAATTACAGGGTAGGGAACTTTAATACATTTGTGTGTGCCTGGAGGCCCCATGGTCCACAATCCCATTAATAAAATAGGTAATGGGTAAAATAAACATTGGCCTTCAACACTGTTATGCAATTTCATAAGCCAGTTAAAGGCAACTGTGAAAGAGTCTTTACTGTCACCCAATAATTACATTCTACTTGTCCAGGTAGAAAAGGCTGATTGATCCTAAAACAAGGCAGAAGTTTGGTTGCTCTGTCTTGTCTTTCTTAAAGCTAATCTTCTTGTTCTTCTATTTTTTTCTAAATGGTCACAACTATGGGTTGATATTTGAATCCTTTTGAAGTCTTATTTAAACAAAGATTAAAACTTATTATTTGCTGTAAAAATGCTTCTCACTCTGGTACTTAATTTATTCCTGATAATCAGTGTTTCAAACGTGGCTGATAGTCTGTATCACTGGTTGATTAATGTGGTTCACGAATCTGCATTTACTGTTAGGCACTGGCTGTTGACTTCCTGCCTGTCATATTTGCATCAGAGAATTCCTCTTTTATTATCAGACACTTATATGTTCTTATTTTGAAGTTTTCATTCTTCCTCTACTGTCATCTTTCTAGTGAACACAATCTAAGTCTCTCATGGTTTTTAGCTAAATACAAAAATTGTATACCACTTTCGTGACCTGATGTTTAAGGAGAAGGTATTGAAGTTCCTTTAAGATGTTCAACCACAGCTGAAAGTATGCTTTGATGTCAGGCCACCCCCGTTTTATGTTAGCTCTCAGATTATCCATCACATTAGTCTGCAATACCATGAAATCAATAGCTGTCGTGTTTAGTTGGAGGGAACAACAGTAAAATACAATCAAAGTTGGAAATCCAATGAAGCCTTTTGCAGTTCAGTCTTCTTGTTCATTTTGGCACCTGTGATTGGCTTTTTGACACTCTTTTTTCTCTTTCCCTTAGAACCAGTGATGCATTTCTGTTTTTTCCCTCTCTGACCTGCCACCATTATCCTCTTCGGGTTCCTCTCTTCTTCCTAAGGTTAATTACCAAACAGAATTCCAGTTTCCTTCACTATCCTTACCCCCACCCCAAGCAGCAAAATCTCACTACAAGGAGACAAACACCAAAACCAGTTGCTGTGAATTTAATTCTGACTCGAGGTGACCCCATGCATTTTAGAGTAAAACTGCTTCATAGTGTTTCAAGGCTGAGACCTTTCAGAAGCAGATGATCAGGTCCTTCTCGTGAGGTGCCTTTGGGTGAGTTTGAACCACCAACTTTTTATTTTGTAATTGCACACTTAACCATTTTCCCACCCAGGGACCCCTTCAAGGAGACAGGCAGAACATAAAATGACAACGATGGGGGAATATCACAACTTTGAGCCTTTTGTCAAATTATACAGTGCTTTTTCCAAGGTAGTTATAAAATTGCTCTCTACTTCAATGTGGCAAAGTCAAAGTTAGGCAAAAGAAAACAAGTGAAATTCAGTGACACAGTCCCACCATTCTGAACAGTGCGATGTATTACATGTGTGAAGTCCAGCAAGAGCCGGGCACCATTGGCAGCAACAACTCCCAGTTGGGAAGGCCTGTACGATCCTTGGCACTAAGACCCAGAAGGCAAAGCCAGTGTAACTTTTGTCACTTCCTCTAAGGAATTGCAATGGGTTTTCCCAAGAAGCTTTCAGGATGGTGTTTTAATTTGTAGAAGGAGCAAGTCTGAGATTTTTAGTTTGGCTGTGTTCATAGCTTCAGGCTTTGTTTCTTCTGTCATTGCTTAGTCCTGGCCCACTTCTAACAATTATAGGGCCTGGGGCATGAGTACAAGTGCAGACCCACATACCATATGTCTAAATATTTAAAAGTTATAAATCATGCTAACAAATGGTTAGATGAAATATGTTCTATCCTCCCACCTTGACAAATATAACTGTGTAATGATAAAATTAAAAAAATATGTGTAAAGTTAGGGTTTTTACATGACTGAAAACTAGGAACCATCAAAGACAACTACTTTAATCATTTTTGTGCATGTCTGGGGGTTCTGTTCACAGTCCAGAGAGAATATACATAATTCATAGATTGTTATGTATTAGTTCCACAAAATCTATTTTTCAACTTGCCTTCATTTGAGCAAAACTCAGTATCTATTTTGTTTTATACAGGAGTTTTACAGAATTTGTATTTTATCGACAGTGAAAAATTTGACAGCCTTTCTTGAGTAATTGTAATTCTTAGTTTTTATTGATTTCGATTGGAAAACAAATTCACCCTTTTAAAGTATACAATTCAGTGTTTTTATTGTATTTACAGAGTTTTGCAACCTTTCCAAAAACCCATTGTAATCAAGTCAATTCTCACTCATAATGACCCTATAGGACAGTGAACTGCCTCATAGGTTTCCAAGGTTGTAAAGTTTACGGAAGCAGACTACTTCACATATCTCCCACAGAGACCTTTCAGTTAGCAACCAAGCTTCTAACCACTGCATCACCAGGCTCCATGTAACCCTTACCACTGTTTTATTTTACAACATTTCCCTCACCCCCAAAACAAACCCTGTGTCTATTAGCAATCACTCTCCATTCTCCTCTCCTAGCCGTGGTAACCACTAATCTGCTTTCTGACTCTCTATGATGAGACTATTCTGGCCATTTCATATAAGTGGAATTATAGACTATGTGGCCTTTTGTGTTTCCCTTCCTTCACTTAGCATTGTGTTCTCAAGGTTCATTCATGTTATAACATGCATCAATACTTTATTATTTTTTATGACCAAATAATAGCCCATTGTATGGAGGTACCAAATTTTGTTTATCCTTTTATCTGTTGATAAAACAACTGTATTGAGTTGTTTCTACTTTTTGGCTATTATGAATCATGCTGGTATGAACATTTGTATACAATTATTTGTGTGAATTTATATTTTCAATTTCTGGATATATTGGGTATATACCTAGGAGTAGTATACCTAGGAGTGCGTCAGGTTTGTATCCTTTCTCCACACTTATTCAATCTATATGCTGAGCAAATAATCCGAGACGCTGGACTATATGAAGAAAAACGTGGTATCAGGATTAGAGGAAGAATCATTAGCAACCTGAGATATGCAGACAATACAACTTTGCGAAAGTGAGGATGACTTAAGGCACCTATTGATGAAGGTTGAAGAATACAGTCTGCAATATGGATTACGTCTCAATATAAAGAAAACAAAAATGCTCACAACTGGACCAATGAGCAGCATCACAATAAATGGAGAGAAGATTGAGGTTGTCAAAGAATTCACGTTGCTTGGTTCTACAATCGATGCCAACAGAAGCAGCAGTCAGGACATTAGACGACGTGTAGCATTGGAAAAGTCAACCACGAAGGAACTGTACCAAGTGCTGAGGAGCAAGGATATCTCCTTGAGGACTAAGGTGCACCTGACACAAGCCATGATATTTCCACTCGCCTCTTATGCATGGGAGAGCTGGACAATGAATAAGGCAGACCGAAGAAGAGTTGATGCTTTTGAGTTGTGGTGCTGGTGGAAAATGCTGAAAGTACCATGGACTGCTAAAAGAACTAACAGATCTGTCCTGGAGGAAGTGCAGCCAGAATGCTCCTTGGAAGCAAGAATGGCCAGACTTCGTCTCACCTATTTTGGTCATGTTGTCAGAAGGGACCATTCCCTGGAGAAGGATGTCATGCTTGGTGGGTGGAGGGTCGACGAAAGAGGGGGAGGCCTTCAATGAGATGGATTGACACGGTGGCTGCAATGATGGGCTCAAGAATAGCAGGGATTGTGGGGCTGGCACGGGATCGGGCAGTGTTTCGTTCTGCTGTGCATTGGGGTCACTATGAGTCAGAAACGACTCGACGGCACTTAACAACAACAACAACCTAGGAGTAGAATTCTAGAGCCATGTGCTAATTCTGGGAGCTCTGGTGGTATACTGCCTAAGGCATTTGACTGCTAACCAGGAGGCTGGTGGTTCAAACCTACTCCTTGGAAGGAAGATTACCACCTCGGAAACCCAAGGAGGGGTTGCTATGAGTCGGGATCAACTCAACGGCAGTGAATTTGTTGGGCTGTTTTTTTGTGTGCTAATTCTATGTTGATTTTTTGAGAAACTGCCAAACTGTTTTCCGAAATGACTGCATCATTTTACTT